GATTCACACTTGTTCAGTGAGTAATGAGGTCAGCTTCACTCCTTCATTCTTCACTCCCTTGTTCGCTCTTTATCTTAATGCTGATTCCATTGTTTCATAAACTCATCTAAGTATGCAGTGTGCTTTAAAATGCACCCTCTTTAGGTTTAGAGGCAATAAAATGGTCGTAGGTCATTGTGAAACTCTGCCAGCATTTATTCATCTGTTGTTTCAAATATAAGCGTGCAGTAAATATACAGTGAGTAGTATGGACAAAAACCAGCAGTCGTCCACAGGACTAAGCGCTACTTTCCCGACTAATGCACTGAAGTCAGATGTGCTTTTGGTGAACTTCTTCCCTTCCTTTGTGAAAAACAAGTACACTTTAGCATACTTTAAAATAGAGTACTTATTACAATATACTCAAGTGAACTGAATCTAATGTTTTCAGACACTTAATTGACAATGAAATGAAAACGTGTCACAGTTATTTAAAAGTAAATGCAGTTAGTTGAACTTAAGAGTGCTTTATTGACCCACTTTAGTAGGAATGAAATACAATGATATATGTAGCTTCATAATTACTTCTGTCTAAAAAGCACTGAAAAAAATTAAATTGTCTGTCTTTAAGTACACTTGAGTGTCCTGTTATTTCTATAATACTATATTTATCTGTGAGTACAGTTTTTTTTCATATACTTTTAAGATTTGAAGTCTATGAGTGCACATTCAGTACAGTTTAATGCACTTATTTGTAATGATTTTTCTGCTGTGGCTTTAGATGCTCGGTGATATGCAGAATAAGCAATTGTTTAAATGAGATTTGCAAGTATGCTCTTCAGTTGTACATGCATTGCTCTTGTGGTATCAAACTTCACTGCTATACACTCCATTATACTGTATAATGCATATATACAATATATATATAAACAGTATATATATATGTGTGTGTGTGTGTGTGTGTATATATATATATATATATATATATACATATTCATATTTTTTGTGTGTTTGTTTTCAAGGAAAGCTATAAATAGGGTCATAAACAATTAACAAGACTGACAGACTCATGTGCTCTTTTACGTTCACAGGCTTTCTCAGAGTCTAATAATAGAAGGCTCTGAAGTGCACAAGGCACCTTTATGAATCCGTATTTGTGTCGCACATGCAGTGATTTATTGTCTTTTGACTGTGGTTTTTATCACTGCAGCATGTTTGAGCCGTTTGCTGACACCTGCTAATGACTGTGTTTATGACTCGCAGTCTAAACCGCACGAAACACTAACATATTTATATCTCCCCATGCTGTCTTCCTGTTCCTTTTAATAAAGCTTTAATGCCCTGATCACGTGATGACAGGCGTGCTCTGAGCCCGGCTTCACTGAAGTACATGCATGCGGTCGGGCGATCACAGGAGCTGGGCTAGCGTTCACGGCGGGTGGGACGGATGCTCCAGAAATCCACACACACACACACACACACACACACTCAATTAAGATGGCATGTGTAATGAGTTTATTTTTAGCACACTGTGCTATTTGCAACCTGTGCGTTGTTTCCCAGCGGCCACCTTCCCTTCCTCGTGTCACACGCTGCTTCCTTCTCTGGCTGTCTCTCGGTTTCTCTGGACCGCTCTGCGTTTGTGTTCCCATGGAAGCAGCCACCATCTTATTTCTCGCTGCTTTAGCTCGGTGTCAACTTTGATGATAATTCTGGTGTCAGCTGAAGGATGTTTCCTCCGACCACAGGAGTGGCTGGCATCACTGCCTCAAAGTTATGCAGAAAATCCCAAGGTCAAATATACATGAAGAAATATGTATTTTTGACATTATTTTGCAGGTGTCACATTCTTGCATTCAAAAACAGCTGGGTGGGATTCAGAGGTCTGAAGACGTGTTTATAGACAATTCACTTCTTTTAGCGTGACACAGTGTCTGTGTCAGTTTTTGGAACTAAACGTAGCAACGCTGCTGATATATATATATATATATATATTATTTATTTATTTTCTCTTCAGTATGATGCTCTTTTCCAGTAAGCTACACTGCAAATGCTGGGGTCAGTAAGATTTTTTAAGAAAATTTTTTTTATTTTTAATTCAGCAAGGATGCATTAAATTGACCAGTAAAGACATTTATGTTGCAAAATATTCTATTTCAAATAAATGCTGTTCTTTTTAAACTTTATATGTGACCCTGCAGCACAAAAGCAGTGTTAAGTCGCTGGGGTATATTTGTAGCAATAGCCAACAATACATTGTATGGGTCAAAATTATCCATTTTTCTTTTATGCCAAAAATCATTAGGATATTAAGTACAGATCATGTTCCATGAAGATATGTTGTAAATGTCCTACTGTAAATATATCAAAACTTAATTTTTGATTAGTAATATGCATCGCTAAAAAGATGATTTTCTCAATATTTAGATTTTTTTGCACCCTCAGATTCCAGATTTACAAATAGTTGTATCTCAACCAAATATTGTCCTATCATAACAAACCATACATCAATGATCAATGATAAATCTCAATTTAAATAAATTGACCCTTATGACTGGTTTTGTGCTCCAGGGTGACATATTCATTAAAGAGTCCTGGTAAAAATGTATCACAGTTTCCACAAAAATACTGAACATTGATAATAATCAGAAATGTTTCTTGAGCAGCAAAGCAGCATATTAGAATGATTTCTGAAGATCATGTGACACTGAAAACTGGAGTAATGATGCTGAAAATACAGCTGAGCATCACAGGAATAAAGAAAATCCCCAAACTAGTGTATATTTGACATGACAAAACTCACTGTCCTCCCTCTCATATCAGTTGGGCAGTGAAGTATTTCCCTTTTGTTAATCAGTTTGTTTAAATTATTATTTTTTTATTTACTTGATTGACTGATATTTTGCAGTGGCTGATGCTTATCTTATAAACATTTTTTTTTCACATTTGTTTGTTCGTTCTTTTGGCCCAATAGAAACTGTTTCTGTTACTCGGCTTGTACTGTAGTAACTAGTTCTTTAAACAGTACGCTTTATCAGTCTCCCTGTTCCATTAGCTTGTAGCTTAGCAAACTTCAGTTTGAGGACGCTGATATTATTGTGTTGGTGTGTATGGCAGCTGCTGCTGACAGCTGGATCCACAAACCCTGTTCATCACGGACCCTGGTAAACAAGGCCTGGCCGATCAGGTTTGTCCAGCTGCCGCTGCCATCTCTGAGCCGAGCACATGCCACCGCTCGAGTCTGACTGTAGAGCGATCGCTGTATCAGTGCCATCTGATCACTGATCACTCAAGCTTTCTGAAGATCCTTCTTCCACACGCCAGAGTTCAGGACTGGATTATCCACTGGATCACACAGGGTTTTTGAGCTTTCCCAGCTCATAGTACTTTGTTTTCTCACCAAATGGCATTACTTTTTTGTTCTTGTAAGTTGCATTTTTATCAAAGTTCATAGTGCATACTGGTTGACCTTTTTCTGCTTGATTCCTCTGTGGGTAAAGCATCTGATCTCAAACACGTTATGAAGGAAGTGGAATTGTTAAATTCCCCATGATTCCTATTCCTAGATTTTCTTAATGTTTTTGAAAGAAACCTGATCATCTTCTGATTATCAAGGCTGCATTTATTTGATTAAAATATTTGGATTATTTATACAATTTTTTTTTTTTTTACAATTTTAAATAACTGTTTCTCTGTGAATATATTGTAAAATGTAATTTATTGAAATTTTTACTTAATTTTCAGCCTCGTTACATTACTGTAGTTCTAATTCTAAAATGCTAAATGGCTCCTCAAGAAACATTTCTTATTATTATCAATGTTAACAACTATTGATAATAATCAGACAAAACAAATTATTACATGGCCATGATTTAATCAAATGAAGGAATAAATTCTTAATCTGTGGGCACAAGTTCACTAAAATTAGAAAAATAAACAATACGCTCTAGGAACTAATTGTTAATTTGTGGCCACAATATATTATTATTTTTTTTTATTATTATTTATTTTTTACAAAGAAAACAGTTGTGCTGCTTAATATTTTTGTGAAAACCGTAAAACAAAAATGTCTTCTGTAAAATGTGGCTGGAATACACAACATGCTTTCAGCTTCAGAATCTGATTCCATCCAGTCGGAGGAGATCAAACGTGTTTGATACTTTGAGCCGATTTTAGAACACATATTGTTTTCATTTGTCACGTTTCTTCTAGCAACAAGGCGCACATTTCTGCCTGAGTTTGTTCTGATTGGAGCGATTTTAAAGTCTGGTAGTGTGTGATCCTCAGTCATTTAGTGTATGATGCCTAGTGTTTAAAAATCTGTTCAGATTGTAAAAGTCGTGTAGTGTATTACGTGTAGTGCCTTAAGAACTGCTTCAAATCTGGCAGCTCCCTGACTGCTGCTGCTCTGAGAGTTAATGCAGAAGGGCTTTATGTAAGCGTGTAGATCAGCCTGCACTGTGAGTCACTGGGGTAATTGGAGACTGTGGGTGACATGAGGGCCCAATCTTACACAGAGAGATGGATTGCTCATTTTCCATTCGTGGGCACTGGATGTAAAGCCTTTTTCTGCCGCAGCGAAGAGAGACGTTACATCTCTGAACTGAGACGCTCATGGAGCCGGAGAATAGAGCCATCCATTAGCATTCACACTCATCTCAATGGCAGCTGATCGGCTGGAGCCTCTGGAAATACACGGCCATCAGCACACAGTTACACACTAAATAAAAAAACTAAATAAATAAATAAAAAATACTCTAATTTGTTACAGACTAACTGCATTTGGCCATTAGAGGGTTGTAGTTACAGTGTCGACCAGCAGGGGCAAACAGCTCAAATCTGACTGAGTCGACAGGTCAGAGACCCAGTTGCCATGGTTACAAGTGACCTTTTGACCTGATTCACTCTGAGAGCCACGGCGGGCTGCATGTGAAGCTGCTCTTCTGTGACACGATCGCTCGTGTTGCTGGTGTTGTGTTTTCTGCTGACTTGTAATGCTCGTCTTTGCTGTTTCCCCACAGGTTTGGATGGAGTTGCCACAGATCTAGATAAAAGAAAAGAAGTCTTCGGGCAAAATATTATACCTCCAAAGAAGCCAAAAACTTTTTTACAGTTAGTGTGGGAAGCATTACAAGACGTGACCCTCATTATCCTGGAGATTGCAGCGCTGATCTCTCTGGGACTGTCCTTTTATCAGCCGCCTGGAGAGGGCAGCGAGTGTGAGTATCTGTTGTTTCCTCTGTCGTAGAATGATTTGCAAAAAAAAAAATATAGTCCTATATATATACAGTATATATATACACTACCGCTCAAAAGTTTGGGATCAGTACACTCTAAAAAATGCTGGGTTGTTTCAACCCAACTTTGGGTCAAATATGGACTAACCCAACTTTTGGGTTAAAATATTTCTTTCAAAAAAAAAAAAAGAATAAAAATGTACTGACCCCAAACTTCTCAACAGTAGTGTATATTTAAAAAAAATATTTCTATTTTAAATAAATGTTCTTCTTTTTAACTTTTTATTCATCAAAGAATCCTGAAAAAAGTATCACGGGTTCCAAACAAATATGAAGCAGCAACAGTTTCCAGAACTGATAATAAATCAGCATATTAGAATGATTTCTGAAGACTGGAGTAATGATGCTGAAAATACAGCTGCGCATCTCAGAAATAACTTAATATACATTTTAAAGTATTTTAAAATAGAAACCATTATATTATATTGTAATAACATTTTGCAAGATTACTGTTTTTTTCTGTATTTTTGATCAAATAAATGCAGCCTTGATGAGCAGAAGAGATAACATTTTGCAAGATTACTGTATTTTTCTGTATTTTTGATCAAATAAATTCAGCCTTGATGAGCATAAGAGACTTCTTTAAAAAACATTACAAGTCTTACTGATCCCAAACTTTTGAGTGTATATATGCACTTCTTATTAATTTATAAATGTAACCAAGGCCACACAGTGTTTTCTAGGCCCCCACAATCCAATTGCTCTAAACCTGTATGGCTTTATTTGTTCTGTTCAATGTGAAAAACATCCCAGTGCTTTTCAACCATGCAGTGAGAATCAATGGGGTCAAAAAATGTCGAAATATACCTTCTTTTATTTTCCACAAAACAAATCAAAGTCAGAATTTGTAGACAGTATGTCACTTTAATATTGAGGTTAGTTCATATGTACCAGTAGTTTAACAGCTGCTTTTGTACTGTAGGTGCATGTATGCTCGTTCGCTGCAGAGGTTTGATGTAATACTAATGTTATTATGTTCACAGTTGCCCCAAAATGTGTGTTGACACTTCAGCCATATCTTATATTGTGTTATATTGCACACATACCAATCCAGTGGTTTGCACTCAAATACTGCGCAGGCTTTACTCAGGTCTAACTTCACTGACCGAGCCAGTGTTACAATGACTTCTAACCAACCGATGTCAAGGTGGTTTTTAATGGATGCCAGTTTCCAAACATTCCCTCTAGGCACAAAATCTGGTGCTCATGGCATCTTATTCTGGCCAGGTACCGAGAAAAGAGTCTGACTGAGGTGTAAAGCGATCAACCACAGTTAGTTTAGTTTTGACATGCTGCTGTTTAGGGACAGAATTACCTGAAATACACACTACCACAATATCAGAGCAACTATCAACCATAACCACAATTAATCACAGACACCTTTTCAACACTACTTTTTTTTTTTAAGTATTTGAAACAGGTTCGAGGTTTTGATGAAATGTGTGTTTGTGCATCTGTCTTCACTATAAATGGTTTTACGTGCAGTGACTTCCAGACATTTTTAAGTGTGGCTGAAGTGTCTACAAATGGTAAGCATCTGAATTAACTGAATCCACCTAAATACTTTGATTTATACCAACAAAGCCCATTTTATATATTTAATCAGGTAGAAATAGCTCTTTGAGGTAACAGTTGCAAGTTAGCACTTTTTACAGTACACTATTTTAGGTTTATAATATGTAAGTTATATATAATATCCAAACCTGTTTTCTTTACTGGACGTCTGATGGTTAAAGGGCACAATGTCCATCAGCAGAGCTCAGCAGCTTGCGAGCATGACTGTGCATTCAGAGTGAGGGAATCCAGTGAACGAACGCTTTCCAGGCCTCTAGAGTTAATGAAGTGTGCGCTGGAAGAATAACCTTTAGGTGAAGGCCATACATCAAGCCACCGGGACATAAAATGTGCAATGAACACGAAAGCATTAAAGCAGCATAAAGAAGCTCACAGAATGCTGAGCAAGTGTTATCAATCACGATGATGCTCAAGGATTCAATTACTCCAGGAATGGAAAATGATCTTTTATTCCAGTGCAGTCTAGATGTGAGCAAAGAATAGCTCATGAGATCTTGAAACTCCTGGAACAGATACCCTTCACTATCATAGAGCAGTTCATGTGCATGTTAAAAACAAAGCTGCAATGCATGTTACTAACAAAGCCAAACTAACTACAAAGGGGCTGAACGATTTTTTTTTTTAGCTGATATTATGATCAGATTATATGATTATGTGAATCTGGCATAATATCATCAAACCTATAAGAATAGTTCATCCAAAAATGCAAAGTTGCTGAAAATGTGCTCACCCTCAGACCATGCAAGATGAGTTTGTTTCTTCATCAGGTTTGTAGAAATGTGTCACTGCATCAGTGTCTCAGCAACGGATGCTCTGCAGTGAATGGGTGCCGTCAGAATGAGAGTCCAAACAGCTGATAAAAACATCACAATAATCCACAAGTAATCCACAGCACTCCAGTCCATCAGTTAACATCTGGAGAAGACAAAAGCTGGAACAAATCCAGCATTAAGACGTTTTTATCTTCAAACCGTTGCTTCTGGCTAAAATTCGAGTCCATAATAACACTTCCATTCTGACGGCACCCATCCGTTGCTGAGCAAGTGATGCAATGACACATTTCTACAAATCTGGTGAAGAAACCTGAGGGTGAGCACATTTTCTGTTTTGGGTGAACTATTCCTTTAATATAATAATATGCATATGTGCACTGAACTAATGAAGCTAAACAACACTGAATCTAAACCACAGCTATAAGATGATAGGAAAGGAGCACACCGAAAATAGCAAATAACTAATTGAAGAATATTTTTCATTAATGTGACAATAGTTCGGCTGTTTTCAAAGTGAAGCAGCTTTTACAGTAAGGACCTAGTTTGTCCAACAAGTATCACAAGGGAGTGCTCATTTTTTGTGTTTCATGTCATATCAAATCTGGCATGAATCTTCACAATTGAACGAGCTGTGAAGGAATAATCGAACATGCTCTGAAATGATCCTTCCTTTCATATATATATACCATAGTGCTGGAATGGACAATTCATTCTAGTCAATGGGCATGTTTGGACAGATCATTTACATGAAGTTTGCATTTTAGGTTTTCTTTATTTATAAGAACACTTAAAGAAATGCTGTTGCTGTTTTGGACTAGTTCATGAACCAGGAAAGCTCTGCTTAAAAGACAAATTATATTAAAGCATTTTATATGTTTATAATGAAATTGTCCCCTTGAGAAACTTAATGTAGTTAACTGCATTCTGTAGCTTAATTACTTTCTGAGACGCTTGTAGCTTCCCTCACATGGTTCATCATAAGCATTAATATGCAAATTGCACGTTAGTATGCATGATACACCTGCAGTGGACTTTTAATGATCACTAGGAGTGCGGCGGTAGAGAAGAGAGTCTGCAGATGAAGCGTCCCCACAAACATGAGCTCCGCTGCCATTGACTCTGAGATTTGTGACACTTCTTCTGCTTTTAATGGAGAACGGTGCTGTCTGTGTCTCTTAAGGAAGATGAATTGCACCGCCGCTCCGTGTGTCCAGACATCACTGCCGTTCAGATTGAATTATGCCCGTAGAGATCTTCAACCTGCAGCTCCCGAATGAAGATAAGCACAGGCAGCGTACAGATCGATGCAGGCAAAATCTCACTTTCCAGCCGAAGAGCTGGCAGCAGCACATTACACCTCAAGAAGGATCTGTAGCTTAAAATACATCATGAAGGTCATTTATTCACATAACCCTCAGGTTGGTCCAAACCTGCATGCTGCAGTTTTTCATGCAGTTCATAAATAGAAAATAAAAATAAAAATATATATATATATATATATATATAGAATTGTTAACTTTTTTTGTTTTTAAAGGAAAGAATCAAAATGATTTTCTTTGGTGATCATCATTATGCTGAACCTATCAAATGAGCTTAAACCGGAAAGCCAGAAACAGGTCAGAAACATGCATTTGTCTAACTCTGACAGAATTCTGATCAAACGAGTGATAACTGCGCGTGTGGTTTGGTGAAGTGTCAGGAGCGTGTGCAGCTTGCAGAGTCACGAGCTGTTATCTAACGCAAGCTCAGCACCGCGGACAGCTCCACACTCCTGCACACAGTGAAGAGATCCACACAGCTCTGTCCCTGCACCGCCATCAGGAGATTCCTTACTGCACAGCCTAAAAATACACATCTGAAACCCACGCACAGCAATATTCATCAGATTTAAAGGGATAGCTCACCTGATGAGTTACACCCCATCTTGTTGTTCCAAAACCATCCAACCTTTGATTTTCTTCTTCCAATTCAAGATATTTATGGATTTAAAGTGACATAATTTTATTAGAAGTTCTGCAACTGATCACCTTTTCTTTAAACTTTTCACTTTTATCTTCTCTAGTTCACTTGGAATGGTGTGATGTAAAGAATTAATTTTACAAGTACAAACATTCCACTCAATTAATATGAGCTCATAAAAAGAGTAAATAAGAGTCATAAAAGGAAAATCTATAAAGAGCTTTTTTTTTATTATTAAGTTTGGCATGTCACAGGACATGTCAATATTCACTCAGTCATTTATTTTTCTATTTTTTGCAATCATTCATTACATTTATTTGTTTATTTATATCAACGATTGTATTGCTTTATTTATTTCAGTATTTATTTATATTTCGTCATTCCTATAGTACTTAAGTAGAAAAAAACTACAAGCTACTAACAGAAATGACCTAACTTATAATGAAGCTAGTTAGGAGAAGAATGTATCTTTAAAAATAAATAAATAATAATAATAATAATTCAATGACACACTTGAAACACAGAAACGACAACAAAAATCCTAATCAGAAAGTATTTAATAAATAAATAAATTGTTTTACAAAATCCACAGTATCATCAAACACGCTCCGAAATGCTCATCTCTCTTCTACATATCTCTACTTTTTGTAGATAATAATAATAATAATAATAATTTTATTTTTTACATTTTATTTAAATTAACTGATTCAAAAATAATTTACAGAGTTTGCATTTTGGATCTTCTTTATGAATAGCAGATGATTTAGTGAAATGCTGCTGATGTTTTGGATTAGTTCATGGACATAGTTTGGACATTGTTCCCTTAAAGAAGCTTAATGTAGTTAATTAAGGGTAGCTTGATTACTTTCTAAGTAGCTTGTAGCTTTCCTCACATGGTTTTGTCATAAACATTAGTATGCAAATTGCACATTAATATGCATTATACACCTACGGTGGACTTTTAACAGTGCGGCGGTAGAGAGGATCACAGATGTGCTGAGACGAGTCTGTGGACACCAAGATGCAGCGGCTGATCATGAGCTCCACTGTTTTTACTGTTTTAAGGTATTCCTTAAATCAGTCCAGTGTAGGGACGTTTCTAATGGCAGGAGGAGGAGCATACTATCATTTAGAGCCAGCAGAAGAACAACTCTCTCCGTGATTGATTTGAGTTGCTGAAGAGAGCCAGCCAAACAAAAGTGCAAGATGTCAAATGTTGGGAACCGTGTGTATGTTAGCAGTTTTCCTGAATCAGACGGTATTTTGTGTGTCCTCGTGTATTCAGGGATTAAAGTTCTGTCGCTCTGACGGATTTCCGTCAGTTCATAAAGACAGCCACTTGCTTCATTCCTGAATGATTCAGCCGTTCGAACGAATCAATTAGAAATTACTCTTGTAAGTCACTTTAAGGAGTCAAATGTCACCTCGTATTAGGAAGGATAATTTTTGATCAGAATTTTTGATTGTTGATCAGAAGGTGCTCTTAAATTTTTTAATTAGGAGGACAAGCGCTCCTAATTACAAGAAGAAAAACACTGCTCTTAAACTGGGTGTGTGACAGGTATGGCTGAGGAATGGGGTTTGGTCGAAGAAAAAGTTTCAGTCAAAATATTTTTTTTTTTGCTTTAACCCCTGCAATATAATAAGAAGTAAAATAAGACAAATAAGTTACCAATCATATGAAATTAGTATTAATACATTAATTTGTACTGCAGAGGTGGCACACAAAAGTGGCTCGTAGGTACATTTTCAGACGTTTAATGAGGCTCAGAAGTGGCATGAGTGCAATTAAATTAATAAATTCATGTGGAGATTAATGTTTTAAATATACAATTTTGAATACAGAAATATGATTTAAATAACTGAAATTATACGTTAAAAATGAAACTAAATCCGCCAGCAGGTGGCGGCAAGTCACTGATTTTATCACTGAATCATTCATTCAATTGATTCGTTCGAACGGCTGAATCATTCAGGAATGAAGCAAGTGACTGTCTTTATGAACTGACGGAAATCCGTCGCAGCGACGGAACTTTAATCCCTCGGTATTCAGCAGTGGCTGTGTCATTGTGACAGTGGACAGCGTGTCCTTTTGAACGAATGCTTTCCAGCAATCAGGGTGTTCCTGTGCTTGCAGTGAATGCGTCTGCTGTTTTATCCTGCACAGCTGGAGCAGGACTGGCCTCTGCTGCAGACAGACTCCCAGCGGAGTCACTGCAAACCTCACACTACATCACTCCAGCAGGAAATCATTGGAAATAATTGGACATGACCTGATTGTGTGTACATCATAAAACAGATGGATTTCTAGATGCATTTCTTCATCAGTGTGTGGTTTATAGTTATTTAGCCGTGAATATGTTACCCAGTTCAGATATGGGATTTGTCAGAATCTTTGTCAGTGTTTATCTAACATCAATCTAGTGTTATATAATATGCGCTCAATGCATACGCAGTAATCACAGTTATTATGAATCATTGCATTTGCGCAATATTCTGCATGAAGTGCCATATTTAATCACACTCATGTGATTCACTCCAAGTGAAAATACTTTGGTGAATATGAAAAAGTGCCCTTTACATTTCAGTTTAATGAAAATAAATATCATTAACCAGATTCATCATCTATCAGGAATATCATTAACAATTATATTAACTTCCTGTGCCCTCATAAACCAAATGGTTTAAGCAAAACATATATTTTTTTTTATTATTATTTGAAAAATAATTTGTGTCTTGTGTGTTTTTATGTGTCCGTCTCTATTTTGTTTATCAGAAATGGCTCCTTTAGCTTTCCATCTTACATTACAATGCAAAGATATGCAGAGACATGACATGAGAATTGATACTTTCTATGAATAGTGTACAAATTAGAGCCTGAAACTCTTTAAAATATTTAATATTTTAGTATTCAAACAAAAGTGTTATATGAGAACAAAAATATTATTATTATTATTATTATTAAAAAACTGTAACAGCATGGGTAAAAGGGTTGCAAGTTTTCAATTCACCTCCACCTCTTTCGGAAAAAACTGAATGCATGTTTGGTACCACTTGCTGGATATTTCAATACATCTGGTCCGGAAATTATTCACTTAAAATTGTAAATTTACTTTGCTGATTTTAATAGACTACCAGAATCGTATCCCTTTCTTCTGACGGCTGTTTGTTATGGTTAATGGGATTTGTTTCCACCAGAATGTTTAAATCTGCTCTTCCTCTTCCTGCAGCCTGTGGGACGGCGAATGCGGGTGCAGAGGACGAAGGGGAAGCGGAGGCCGGTTGGATCGAGGGGGCTGCTATCTTACTCTCAGTGGTCTGTGTTGTTCTGGTCACGGCCTTCAATGACTGGAGCAAGGAGAAACAGTTCAGGGGTTTACAGAGCCGCATCGAACAGGAACAGAAATTCCAGGTGGTGCGAGGAGGGCAGGTCATCCAACTTCCTGTGGCAGATATTTTGGTTGGCGATATTGCACAAATCAAGTATGGTATGTGTCCTCTTTTTTTTATCCTGTTTTTAGAATTGGATGGCACAGGCTTATAGGTCCTTTACATGCAGTCCGCTAGCAGTCACATGGCACTACATGGCACAAGCTGATTGGCCTGTACTGATTCTGTACTGATTCTGCAGTGAGATTGCTAGCTCAACATTTAAATACTTTAGTTTAGCATTGGATGTAAGGCCCTGTTTACACTGGTATTAAGATGTGTTTTGGTCGATCAGAACGCAAGCATAAAAGGCAGACTCATTCCCGTTTGCATCTGCTGTTTTAATACATCTCTTTTGTCCACATGCAAACACTTTCTTGATTTCTTTAAGGGGAGGGTCTATAAGTGGGTGTATGCATGGGCTTTTTCTGATCTTTTGATCTAATGTTGCGAAATAAGCTCATGCAATTTACACACATATGTGAAAAGAGCCAACAGAAAACAATACGGAGAGCAGCAACTTTTGGTGTTGTCCACTTGTGATCGGATCAACACAAATGCATCTTAATACCAGGTGTAAAGTTGGGCCTGCAGCACACTATAAGAGTTCCTCCGAAATCCTCCACCTCCCCCAGCTCCACCTGTCTGTTAGATTTGCTACATGGTTTATGTACACCTATTCATGCAGCAGCGCATGAACTACATTAACAACCAACTTCATTAATATTGTCATATCTTATTAACATGTTAAAACTATCCCAAGTACTGTTATGACTGAAGTAGTTAATTTATATATTAGTATATAGTACAGTATACATACGTGATTCTTCAATGTTTCTGTCTTCTAGAATAATTTTTAAAAAACATTTTGTGTGGTGTGACATGCTAAACTCCATCTAAAACAATTGTAAATAGTATTGAGCTCAATCTTTTTAAATTATCATTCATGCAGCTTTTATGAGCTCATATTAATTGAGAGACTACAGTACATAAAATGTATACTACAATTCATGTCACACTACAAAACCATTTAAATAATTTATTGAAGACATAAAGGTGATGAAAAATGGTTAAAAACATTCTAAGAAATACCTCTCAGTTGCAGTATCTACAATATACACATTCCCCTTAAATCTTGATAAAAAAAATTTCCATGGACGTGTCTAAATCTATAATGTAATATAATATAATATAATATAATATAATATAATATAATAGATGAAATGTAGTTTAAAGAAATACATTTTTCAGGATTTATAATTGAAGGTTCACCCATATGTAATTTGAAGTCCACTAATTAAGTGGTGCGTTATCAAGAGAGCTTTTACACATGACTGGACATCATTGCTGTGCGATGAAGCAAGACTGATCTGTGTCACTAATTACAGTTTGATTATGAGAGTTGGTCAAGCTGATCAACACTTTCTAGTCTGGAGATTTTATCAAACTAAAGGGCTGTGCTGGTTCTGCAGTGTTGGAGAGGTTCTGGTGGTTATTTCGGATCTCCTGAACAAGTGGGAGGCAGATAATGTAGCTGTTGACAGTGACGGAGCGATCCTGTGTGTGAGAGCGTTTGGTAGGCTGGAAGAGGGGAAGATCTCCTTGACTAGTACAGTGATGGTTAGCAGTCCCAGGCTTACCGTTATTTTTGAATATGTGTGGGAGTTGATATGTTGCTTTGCAAAGATGTAAAATGAAAGCAAAATTATCTCTGAACGAAATGACATTCTCTTGATATATAAAACAACAGAAGGGCCAAATACTGAACCCTGGGGAACACCTAAAATATAGTGTTGCCTTATTGAGCACAACATACTGCAGGCCTTGTCATTTTTATGTTGACTCAGTTAGGGCTGTAAAGTCAGAAATATTGGAGAGAGATTCTGTTGTGAAATGCTTGACAAGTGCCATCTTAGAGGATCAACTTTGGAATTCTTTGGAGACAGCAATATTGATCCAGACTTGTTGTTTGGAGAAACTGAAGGGATTATTGGAAGGAACACAGTGGCACTATGAAGAGCTTTGGAGATTAGATTCTGAAATATGCTCCATTCCTGAGTGGCTGCCTGTGTTAAGAAACGGTTTTGTCCCTGCTTTGTCCTTGACCATTAGATTTAACAAGTTAAGCTAAAGAAAGACTCAGGTGTGCTTGCTTTAGGTCACTTTGAATATCATGCACATGATCACATTTCCCCCCTTTTAATAGGGCATACTAACCCTAACACTAATAGAGAAAATAAATTTACAGTTTGGTTAATAGAGAAATAATTCCTCAATACAGTATATAACTTTAAGACATTTGACTCCTGAAGTTTTTTTTTTAAAATCCTGTTGTTCACTCATAAAGCTGTTAGCCTGTTAACAGCTGCTTAGATGTCCCAGAGTACATCACTTTGCCAATATAAATTGGAGATCATTTAAAGACATTAAAGAAAAATTAAGATCATTTAAAGACATTATTGTGACACCACTGACCATATACACAGTGGCTCTAAAAACAATATATTGTTAGTTTTATCATTGATATCATCATTAGCCTGTGACTGAGTTACTGCAGCAGTCAGTCAGTCCTTCTGCATACATTTTTAAATGTTTCATCTATGTGTGTTAGACATACATCTTTGGCTGTTGTGTCCCATGTTGCTGTTTTTTTTAGCACGTCACACCATGAGTACTGTACTTTTAAGATGCTGTTGTGTTTGATGCTGTTGTGTTTGATTATGTTGCGCTCTTCCATCCAGCTGTTTCATTAAGCAGTCCTGTGTGGACGTCTCCTCATTCATTTTATGAGTGAATGGCTAAATGCATTGTTTTGCATTTAATTCTTCTAAATTGACATGTTAAATTGACAGCCCTAATCCTTTTGAATTTTCATGAACTAATTCTGAATTTCTGTGTTCAGGTGACCTGCTTCCAACTGATGGGGTCTTGATACAAGGCAATGATGTGAAGATTGATGAGAGTTCTCTGACAGGGGAATCTGACCATGTGCGCAAATCTGCAGATAAAGACCCCATGCTTCTCTCTGGTGAATGCCCACTACTGCTGTATTTATTTGAATGTTGTGAACTCTGCACACAATACATATTGAAGGTCTACATATACTATAGTGAATTAAATATCAATTCAACAGATTATGTCAGAATGAAGACGTTCTGATCGATTTTATTGGTTTAATACAATCAATACGGTCAAGACCTCTGAGATAGGACCGAACAAAACCTGGGACAGTCATGCTGTCATTCATGTGTTTGAACTAGCAACTAGCTTCATGATAATGTTATCCAATAGTTTATTAAATGTATCTATTAAAAACATATAATGACACACCAAAATATAGGGCCAGATTTACTAACAGCTTGTGCCAGCGCAAAACCGTCTTTTGCCGTGAAAATAGTACTGTCAGGATTTACTAAAGAAGTGCAGTGAAGAATTAGCGCTGAAAAGGCGTGGACACAGTTATTTTTGTGCCTGACCTTATTGAATATGCATTTGTAGGAGTTCCCCTTTCAGACGCAAAATTTATGGGAGGAGAGTATTCAAATCAATCACACAAAGCAATTTACAAACGTTTGCACTCGTCAAATTACTGGTATTTGCACGATTATTTAACGCCCCAAAAAAGAACGTCTTAAACTATTGCGGGTGATTTACTTATGCGCCTGCGTCATAAGTAGATCACCCGCACCTGTCTCATCAGCTCTGCTTATTTGCGACTACGCTAATTTGCGCTGTGCTTCGTATATTGTGTTGGTCGATGTGTAAAGCTGACCACACACTATTGAGGATTTTAAGGCCAATTTTAAGCCAGATTTGCACCCCCGAAAAATCCTCTATTGTGTGGTGTCATTACGATTATTTACCTGCTCCCAATTGAGACGGAGCATCCCCAAACTCAAATCGTAAATATCAAACATGTTTGATATTTACGACTTTTGATCTGGCTGCCTCCGACGTGATACCCACTATTGCCAATGAGAGCGAGCAAGCGTCACCTACCGGATGTTGCATGCTTCTATAGCTGAAACTTAGCAGCCACAAACATGCCACGAAATCAGAATACATCACCCATATTCTTTTTTATACTTTTTTTTTCACTGAGAAACAGAACGCGTGCCGGGAGAACCAGCTGACGACGTTGATTGTCCTCTATTTGTTTTTCTTCTCTAGTCACGTTTGATCTCGCGAGTCTCCGTGAGATCTCGTGTCACTGTGAAATCGTTCCTACAATCATCAAGTGTGTGGTCTCACGGTCTGGTTGAATCGTCTAGTGTGCACGTTCAGAGGATCATAAGGCTAAAAATTGGCTGAAACTGTCTTCATGTCTGTGGTCTCCCATGGTTTTAAAATCAGTTAAGATTTGAAAATCGTCTAGTGTGTTGGCAGCTTTAATGAGATGTTGCATCTCTGTTTTTTAATTTGCGCGTTATCAGTAAATCACCCACAGAAATGTCCACGCCAATTAGGCTCTCGCGCTAATTTGCCCTGTTTAGTAAATCTGGCCCATAGTCTGTTCATTGCCAACTGCACCATTTATTGTTATGCATTTTTTTAAGAGAACACTTTTAATGTACTTTGATTCTACAACTTTTGTCAAAAAGGACAATAGTGAACTAGTCCTCTGTTTGCTTCATGGCCAGTCAGGTGTGCATGAGGGATGGATGTTGACAGACAGCAGTCTGTGGTGTCCGTGTATGACGTCACACACTGTGTCATTTGTGCTGAGGTCAGAGCGGCCTGCTATTATTTACAGTTTCTCCATGACTTACTGCTCGGTTAACTGAATCACCAGGCACCCATGTGATGGAGGGCTCAGGTCGAATGCTGGTCACGGCTGTCGGAGTGAACTCTCAGACTGGGATCATCTTCACTTTACTCGGTGCTGGAGGAGAGGAGGAAGAGAAAAAAGAGAAGAAAGGTGCGTAACTAAAGCTCAGCTGGGCAAAACCTCAACAGAGCTGCGTTACATCTGCCCAGGACACTTCTGTACATGTAATTCCTGTCAAATGATAAGCAGCTATTATTATATAAAAATATTTAGGCTTAAATTTAATTTACATCTGTTTGGATTACTCAGTTTTAACATATATAAAACACAAACTAATATGATGTACGTTTCCCAATCCTACGTAAATGAAACGGGTAGGGCTGCCCTCGACTAAAGATTTTTCTGGTCGACTAGTAGTCATTCATTTGAAGCATTAGTCGACTAATCGCATGTTTATTAATAAACCATTTAAATCATAATAATGGCCCTTTAATTGCGTACATAGCCTAATAAGCGCTCAAGCGCATGCATAAAGCTTGCCACAGCACACCGGCAGAAGTAATGATTATAAATGTGTCAGGGAAAAATAGTAAGGAGGCTGCATTAACAATTTAATAATTCACTGATAAACTAGTGCTTTCTTTGTTCTCGGTTTCACGCTCAAGTTCACAGAGACCGAGACGGCAGAAAGCGTATCCTGTTTGCTTTCATTATTTTACAAAAGCACAACGTTTTGTTATTATGAGTGCACACAAATAAACGTAGAGTCTTTACAGATTCGAAAGATGTATTACTCTTATCTGTATAAGCAAAAATGAGGGAGTATTTTAAGAGCAAGTGAGAAACTAATTGAATTCTTTGTTTATAAATATGTCTGGTTATTGCGTAGTTATATCACAGATTCAGTTTATTAGTAAGTTACTAAGTTTCATTTATGTATGACTGACAAATACGCGTCACATGCATCTCAAGTTTATTAGCATGCTAGTGTTAAAACAGTGTGATTGTAAAAGATGGAAATTTTATATACGTAATTGATAAAACTCTCCTTGTGTTGTCAGAACATTTCAAGTGAAAAGTAAATGTATTTACTGTTGCTCATCGATTTTTTAAAGAATTAAACTATGGTGCATACCTCATCCCACAGGTTTGATACCTCAAATTGAGGAGTGTGTGCCGTTTTGATTGGACTTAAGAAAACCCTAGCAGCACCCTGCTAAACACCCAAGTGACGATAAGTTTTGCGCAGCAGAGACAAGTTTCATTGAAAAAAAACAAAAAAACATGCAGCTCATTTTGTCCCAATCAGAGACTGCTTTGGGGTAGAATGTGTACTGTCGTTTTCCGTGTGGCTGCTTCAGACTGACACTTGAAAATGTGCTGTTTCTGGTTTGGTAGCATGTGCTACCCGCACCGTTTGTCAGCATAAGGCCTTATGTGTGTGTTATTCTGCAAACTGCCACAGGTCAGGCTCTGGAGGATGGCCATCAGCTGGCAGGTAGAGTATGAATCTCTGTACCCGGGGATATCTGCAGTAATGCTCATTTATTACCCCACTAAACCCGCTCTGCCCTCCCGAGCCCCGCTTTAGTAACCGCGATCTTTCACTTAAAAAGACGCTCTTTTTAAGTATTTACAGAAATGCATTTCATCCATGATCCTGCATAGATGATGATCAGGAGGTTGTGATGTAACCCCGGCTTATTCCCTCAAGAGCGGATAGATTGATTGCGGTTTCGTAGCCTGGTAGTCTGATACCCTACAGCTTGTAGAGTGTTGTGATTGAAGCACTTGGATTTGATTTGGAAGCATGTGTTTATTTGGTTGTTTTATTTTTTTGAATCACCTGTTGAATCATTTACTTACCTGGTAGTGAACATAGCAATTGGAATTTTCTCTCAAATGACGGGTATCTGTCAGTGCCAGCTATTTGTGCCATTGATCATTGTGTCGTTTTGTGCCTCGACTTTGTTTTGTCTACCATATTATGTGTAACCTGTCTTATGTTGCAGTGTTTTTTCCATCGATGTCATTCTTTTAACGTCGCCTTTCAGTTGACAGCAGTATATTGAGAGATACTAATCGTGGTAACGACGCTCTTAACCATGCTACTTTTGTTCATTATTACGGCTAGACTGCTCCCATCCCTCCTCACACCCCATCGCAACTATAGCTACCGATGGTGCGGCAAGCGCAAATGCCCCTGGTAATAGACAGAGAGATAGATAGACAGACAGACAGACAGAGAGAGAGAGAGATATAGACAGATAGACAGACAGAGAGACAGACATACAGACAGACAGACAGACATAGAGACAGACAGACAGACAGACAGACAGATAGATAGAT